AACTATTTTCTCTTTCAGAAAGATTCCAATGATAAACTGATAATAAATTCCTAAAACAATTAGTTTTTTACAAGAGCTCTAAATAAAATACCTTAATTTATGAAAGTCCTAAAAAAAAATACAGAAGTTTCAATATAACCTCTATTTGATGACTAATTAGCTAATTTTGAAGATGACATTTTTTGCTTATTTGGCTAACAAACAGAAATTACATATATAAAACAGCATCAGCTAGACGTCTACCAACTGGTCTCACCCCAATGCCTATCTCAAGCTTACAATCTTGAAATCTAAATGAATATTAAAACAAATAATCTAAGCAGATAACAAGACATACAAGATAAAATATAAATTATCAACCTGGATCAGTATATGGAAAGGGTGGTGCTGGAAAGTCATCCCGCTCAATCTTGGGTACTTCAGATGGATTGGGTCGCTGAGCCCCAGGATAATGGGACAACTCTATTGGCTCCTCATTGTTCATGTGTGGTGATCGGGGTCGAGGAACGTTGGCTTGGATAGACTCCACTGTTTGTAGAACATAGAGGAAAAACAGTCAGTGATATTTTGAAAAGAAGGATGAAAGAAAAAGAAAGAATATATATATATATATACATACACACACACACATAAGAAGAATAACCAACAGACAAGTATTGATTTACAAAAGTTACTCAGAATCTCTTCATAAATGAAGGTCTCTACTCAGTTTATTAAACTTGTGATCTGGAAATGTTATCTCCAGAGAGTATCTTACAAGCAACAGTATTTGATATTCTAATAAGTTTTTCTAAACCTTTTGGTGCTATATCTAAATTTGTAAGGTTTTTTCTCCTTACTACTTGATGTATTAATTGTGAAAGTCTCGTATCTTTTATAATTATTTCACAAGTAATTTACAGTTAGGTTTTACAAAATATCCACAATATAATACAACATATATTCAACATCTGTATCCAATGCAACTGGACAATGATTGTTTTTCATTATCCAGCACATTTTTGAATACCATTGGAACTTTTTATAAAAATATTACCTTAAATTTCATAATAAAAACTTGTACTTTGTTTTGATAAAAGTAAAAAAAAACAAGGACTACTTTTAAATCTAAATTGTACTGTAGTAATAAGATTAAGAACATATACTTTAGGTTGTTTTATTTTCATTCAAAGTAATATCCTATATTATATCTTACTAATAACATCAGATGAGAAAATTATAATTTAATGTTAGAACAATAAGTAATACAGACTTTATCCTAAAACTTTGAAAATTGGTTTAGAAAAAAATCCTTAAGATGTAACTGTTTTAAAAGTTTTTGTTCTGATTGTGTATAATGTTTTTTACAACTTAAAGCATTTTTATTTACTTACCAAGAGCTGTCATTCCTGTTAATCAAGAGAATCCAAAGTAATATGGAAAGAACAAAAAAAAAGAGATAATAACCACAAATACAAGCTTAGTATTAGTATAAACTTTTTAAAATCAAACAATAAACTCTAAAGCATTTATGTCCAAAAAATGACTAAATATTTAATAAGTGTCTGCTATATACAAATTATTTTGAAATTATGTTTGTTATTTAAAAACACACTAGGTTGTCCAATGACCATCAATTCTGGTAACTTGACATGCCTATCACCCTTGTTACACATTCTGTTACACCTCAGCATATCCTGACTTCTTACAGATCCTGTTACACCTAAGAATATTCTATATGTTATAGATTCTGTTATGTGCCTGTTACACCTCAACATATCCTCCATGTTATACACTTTCATATGTGCCTTTTACACCTCAAGATATCCTGCATGTTATACATTCTGTTATGTGGCTGTTACACCTCAGCATATCCTCCATGTTATATATTCTGTTATGTGCCTATTACACCTCAGCATATCCTACATGTTATACATTTTCTTATGTGCCTGTTACACCTCAGCATATCCTACATGTTATACATTCTGTTATGTGCTTGTTACACATCAATAGTTTGTTACCTCCATTATTAAATGAATAATAAAGTTCATTTGCATAGACATAATGTCATAGGGAACACCACAAAAATACTTCATGCTGGTTAAGTCCAGTAAATTCAAACTCAGAAAATGCACCCACCCCATTACCACACAATGAAAAATTAAGTGTTTCATTCAGGAAAACACAATCAATTGCAAGGAAGCACCATTTACCTGTGGGTTTATAGTTTTCATAAGTACGTTTAATACTCACACAGCACTAATAATTTACACACACTTTCAAAGACACAACAGACTCTATTATATGATAGGCATTTTGATAGGTAATACTAGTGTCACCATATGATTGATGACCCAACCTAAGAAATATATTTATCCATACACAATTATCAATACCTATCAATAAGAAAACATGCAATATCATGACATTTAAGACAATTTGTAAACAACCTGTTGAACAATGATTTTTCTGTTTGCCTACAACATAAAAAGTGTATTTAAAATGCTATTATACATTCTTGTTACTGACAACCAATATAAGACCAGTTAAGTGTGTAATGATAAACATCATTATTGGTGTAGGGGAGACCGGGACTAGTTGTTACAGGAGCAAGTTGATACAGTGCCTCTAGCTCTTGTTGAGATTAATAGACAGTGATAGTTCACGGACCATCGAACGCGTGTTACGCAAGCTTT